TCCCTAAACCCAATATCACAACAGAGAAATCTCTGAGGTAACGACCCGGCACAGCAAGCCTAGTGGGACGCCATCCTCAGCGGTTAGAGTTTAGGAGGTTAAGGTTAGTGAGGGGTTTAGGGGTTGAGGGTTTTGGGTTTAGGGAGTTGGGGTTAGGGGTTCAGACCTAAACCCTATAGCCTAAAGCCTAAACCCTAAACCGGGGGTTTAGGGGCTTGGGGTTCGGGGAGTTGGGGCTTGCCAGCTTTGGCTGTTTTAGTGCAAGGCAGGTTCGAACTTCATGGTTAGACCTTTGGGGTCTCCAGGCCTTGAAGCAGTAGGGTTTGGGGGTTAGGTTTTTTGTTGGAACGACCCCTTTTCCGGATTTAGGGTTCAGGGTTTAGGGTTATGCTGTGTTATTTTAGAAGGAAGGCTCATCACACCCTAAACCCCTAAATCCCAAACCCTAGGACAGTGTCCATACTAGAATATCACAAGCTGGTAGCATGTCACATACCTTGACCCCAACAGTATGTAGGAAATGGCTTTACCTACTTCTGGGGGGTTCAGGTATGGCATATGTCGGAACATTGTTCCCTCCTGGCGCAGCCAGTCTCCCCGGCTGGTTGGTTCGATAGTGCAACGACGGTTTAGGGTTGAGGGCAAGACCGGCACAATGATGTTGATCGCTCCAAGATTCAGCAAATTGTCCCCGGATCCAGATCCTGTGAGAGCCTCTCCATGTCGAACCCCGTACCGATAGGCTGCCATTTGTCCCACAGCACACTGCCTGATGGCACCACCTGTGCATATTTTTTAGTGGAATGTCGACTGAGGCATCCTCGGCTAACATCCCGTTTGTGACAACACATCTAAATTCTTGGTGGAGGCATTCAAGGTGATGGCATGAGTGTGCTGTTGCGATTCTTCCTTTTGTAGAGTCGGGGACTATGCACGATCTGAAGTCATAGTTAGATCAGGCTTTTGGGGTATATCATGCTGTAACTATAACAAGGAACCCTAAGAGTATTACTATGCATCACTACTTGTTCAGATTCCAGGGTCCATGGTAGAGGGTGGGCCTTGGAGGTTGCAGGGCTTTGGGGATCAGGGCTTCAAGGCTACAGTAGTCTAACTTCGCTTAACTTCTAAGCCCCATACTCCAACAACTTTGAGGTTTAGGGCTTAGGGTTTTAGGGTTTAGGGTTCAAGTCTTTTCGGGTTTTTGGCGCAATGAGGGCTAAAGAAAGATCTTGCATCCGGCAGCAAAAGTACAGCCACAACTAGACCTTGATCCCTGGAAACTCAACCCTACCTATAGTCTCCATTGTAGTTCCTTTTGGGGATACCTTATAAAATCCTTAATATGTAGTTGGTTAAACCAAAGAAAAGGAACTACAATGGAGAGTATAGGTAGACCGTAATCCCAAAAGCCTCTTGAATCCAACATGGAAATCTGCGTAATTCCCAAAACTATTCAGTGGGGAAACTGAGAAAGTAGAACATGACCCAAATCCTGGATTCTAACTGTTAAAGCTATCCTGATGAACCCTGATGAGCCCTGTACAGCCTGTAATTAAGAGCCCTTGCAGAACCCTTTAAGGAACCTTGCTCTAACTGTAGCATCATGGGTTCTATGTGTTGAAACTGGCTTCGGCCCTACATAGTAAACTTCTATAAAACCATGTGGGGGTTAATTCATTGCGAACGGTTCAGACCTCTCCAACTCAACGATTCGGCTGGGTCCCCAGCGCCCTTTGCTCGGCAGACCTCGCATCGTGCAGTATGGCTTCGGGATTTCCCCTTAAACTAAACCCCTAAACCCTAAACCGTTCAATCCATTTGCTGCAGATTTATCTAAACACCCAGAAGCTTCGACGCTTCTTCGATGGGGTTTGGGGCTTTTCCTGGGTTTTTTAGTGGCTTGGTTGGTGTTTGCTGCCATCCGAACACTCGACAGCATACACAACCGAAAGTGCCTCCACGACGTGAACAGAAAGGCCTCCCTACACCCTACCTAAACCCCCAAAAGTAGGTAAAATAATGGCCCCAGACCCATAAAAGGCTATTGCTTTACACATTTTGGGGGTCCAGGTAAGCCCTAAACCGTAGCTGCGAAGGATCACAGCAACCGCCATCTGCTTCAAAGTGCGCTAGACAGCTGCACCACACCTCATGTCAAAGAGTCCAAAGCCATAAGTCATTAGGCCGTAAGGTCCTAGACCCTATGACCTCAAAAGACTAAACAGAGCCCTAAATAACAAGTCCCATAAACGCTAAACCCTACGACCTCAGAATACCCTCAGAATCCTAACAAATCCCATAAACTCTAAAACCCAAAACCCAAACATTCCTAAACCCTGAACCCTGAGCCCCAAATGAACCCCTAAACCCTAAACTCAAAGCCCTAAACCCCAAACCCCAAACCCCAAACCCTAAACCGTAAAGCCCTCGACCCTGAACCCCTAAACCCTAAACCCTAAATCCTAAAACCTTCAACCCTAAACCTTAAACCGTAAAC